ATAATAACTGATGTTAATGAATAACATATCTAAAACAATAATTTCCTATTTCATTAATTGATGAAGGTATATTAATTGATTTTAATGATGAATATTCAGAAAAACAATCATCACCTAATTTACTAATTGTTGTCGGAATAATAAATTCATTAATATCTTTCTTTTCAATATTCTTTCCATTGATTATTTGTAGTTTATATGGTATTTCAATACTAACTAACACTGGTTCATTCATAAATATTCTTTCTTTACTTACAAATTGTAGATTATCTACGCTTACCGATGTCAATGATGAACATTCACAAAAACATTCAATTCCTATTTGACTCACAGATGCTGGTATATTAATTGATTTTAATGATGAACATCCTGAAAAACAAACACATCCTATTTCATTAATTGGTGCTGGTATATTAATTGATGTTAATGAATAACATTCATAAAAACAACCATATCCAAGTGATTTAACTTCTAATGGTATTGTATTTCCATATTTATTTCTATCTTCTCTTGTATATTTTATATTTTTGTAGATATTTCCTTGTTCTTTTTCGAATAAATATGTTGAATAACTTACTGGATACCATATTACATATTTAAATATTTTTCCATCATCAAATATTTTATCCTTTCTATTATAAATATGAAATGTTTCAATATTAGGAAAGAATTCTCTTGAATGTTCATTTAATGGAATTGGATTAAAATGAAATCGTTCAATATTCCCTCTAAATCTTTTAATTCCAATTTCTAAATTAATAAAATCTTTAATATCATTAAAGTACATTGATGTTATCATTATTTCATTATATCCTAATTTCATTCTTACTTTATTGTTTATTAGTTGTTTTTATTAGTTCTTTTATTTTTATATTTTAATTTCTTCTTTTTTATTATTTTATCATCATTCTATTTTTATTATTTGATGTTTGTTATGAAAAACAATAAATAATAAGAAATAAAATAAAATGATAATTATTTTTATTTTTAATAAATTATAATTATTAAATATTTCATTTTGTTGTTATTTTATTCATTATTATAGATCCTTTTACCAATTCAGAATATACATCATATTTTGATACCATGCTTATTGAGTAATACCATAGAGTCTTGTAAAGAAAATCAAACAACAAACAGGTATCAAGTTCAAAGAAAAGAAAGAACGAAATAACAATAAAATGCATAATAATTATGATAAATGAAATAAAATGAAAAAGTGAATAGAAAAAGAAGAACACAAAGAAAAACAAATAAGAAACAATGTAAATATAATGGTAATAAACATTATACAAATAAGAAACCTAAATGGTTAACAAAAATGAAATTGAAATAAAAAATAAAAGAATAACAAGAAAATGGGAAAAAGGAGAATACAGAATTACTTAAAAAATAAGAAGGTAAAGAAATGGTATAATAATGTCCAAGAAGTATATTCAATAAGAAAGAAGAAAACACTAGAGAAAAACAAAGAAGAATTCAAAGATAAAACAAAAGATTGGAAAAGTGAAGATATTAAAAGAATCGAAGAAGAAATCAAAAACAAATATCCAATCAAAGAAATGAATGATAGATGTAAATATGCAAGAATAATAAATGAAAAAGAAAATAAAAGGAAAACACAAGATAAAGAAGAGAAAAAGGAAGAAGAAGGCAACAAAGAAGAAATTAACACACTTCAAAATAAAATCAAAGAATTAGAAGAAACTATTAAAGAACTTCAAACAAAAAAGATGGAAGAAGAACGAACCATTTCAAATGAAATAATTCAAAAAGCACGAGAAACAGTCAGGAAAGAGTTTGAAGAAGAAATAGACAAGATTCAAACACAAATAAACAATATTCAAACTACATGTGATGAAATAAGAAAAGAAGAAAACTCTAAATTAAAAGAGGAAAACAACACATTACAATGAAAAATAAATGAAGCAAATGGCAGAAGGAACATAGAAGTAGGAGGTAAGGATGAAACCATCCTCACGCTCCGAGCTAGCTATGAGAAGTTAAACAATAATGAGATGAAGAATAATGATGATTTGTTGAAGAAGAACATAAGAGATAAAGAAAATCAAATCTCTGTATATCAAAAAAGTGCGATTCAAAACTATGAGATTGCAGAAATAACAAGAAAAGAACTAGACCATACACAAAGGGAAAATGAAGAACAAAAACAAATAATATCAAAACACAAGAAAGTATCGAAAATTTTTTATCCCAGAAGGAACTGGAGAAGAAGAAAACAATGACTCTAGTGATAAATACACAACAAATACTGAGAACATCATCATCTGGGACAATACAAATGAACAAAACTACCCCTATGAAAAAGACAATTCTGGAAATAGAAGAAGAAGAGAACAAAACACTGAATATCAAAAAACAAGAAATGATAATCAGTCAAGAAGAGAAGAAAACACAACAAATCAAACAAATAGAATTTTAATTGATGTGTTGTATTGATTTGCAATTAATTTGTTAAATAAGAAATTAAATAAGAAATTAAGATGGGAACAAATAGAAAGCATAATAAAAGTAATAAATGTTAATGTAGATAATGATAAAGAATACATTAATAATATTAAAAAGTCACATAGAATAAAATAAACAACTAAAAGATTATATTAAAATGAAATGAACTCAATCATAGAAGGGAAAGTAGAGTGTAATCCAATAATAAAAAATATTATCATAAAAAATAACTCTACTGATATTGATGATGAATATCTTAACTCTATCATCATTCAACTTAAAGAAATGAAAATAGATAAATATGTAAATATTAATTACTACTGGAAAAGGAAAGAATCAGATAAATTAAGAAGAGAAATAAATAATAAAAGGGTATGGTCAGCAGAATAGAAAATCTGCAAGAAGATATGAAAATGATTTCAATGTGTATGTATTATTATCTCCAAAATAAATTTATAGGAGATAAATTTGATGAAGTAAAAGAAATCCTAAGGAAAATAAATAGATTAGAAGATCTAGTCAAGGGAAGGAAATGGTACAGAATAAAATGCATCATGAGATTAAAGGAACAAGATGCAGATGAAATTAAAATCAAAGCACAAGAAAGAATAAAGTACCTAAAATATATGATGACGATGATTAAAGAAAGAATTAAATTTAATAAGAATGAAAATGTCAGAATCAATACAAATAAAATCATGTTTGATTCTAATAACAAAATTAAATAAAGAAGAAGACCCACAAATGAAATATA